ATTTTAAAATTGCTTATGCAAACCTTTCCAAAAGTGGTCCTTCAATTTGCTAAAAACTGACCTTCAAAGTCATTGAGAAGTCCTTGGCATCTACAGGAACTTACTCCTATATGGTAATATATTATTTTGATTGCTGTCCAGTACCATAGCAACATTCATTACACTCCAGCAGGCAAAATTAAACACAAGTAGAGTTATTTGTGACCGGCAATGATGAAACTGCGTGACGACAGTAACAATGGCAATATGGCAGTCCCCTAAAGATAACTCTAGATGTGCGATACTGAAAGCCCGAGTTCACGCAGATATGCGTCTAGTTTAGCTTAAACACAATCTAGACTACAGGTTTCATATTTCAAAGTTAAACGAATTCTGCTTTATGACTTTGAGATCTGAAAAAATTTAGCCACTTGCGGATTTCATCAGTAATATCAAAGTCAAAATATGTTCCCGTAGAACGACAATCCGCAACTGAAGGCAAAATTTCATGGTGCAAGGTATGCATGTCTCTGCCATGTACTTTCTAGCCGTCTTCCAGATAGCTTTGGCATAGATTTTATTCGATTTCCTTAGTGAGTTGAGTTATTCCACTAAACAGAGATAAATAACACTACGGCATGTATTTTATCAGAGAGATTTAAAAATCAATTGTCAAATCGAATCTCCTCGCTCCAGAGATTTTACTTTACCATTTTCTTTTCTCGGCAGAGTTTTTTTCCATTATTATTAGTATTATTATTTTATTTTTATTTTTTGTCATTTAGACTGATCATTAACTTTCATTGCTAAGTACGAAAAGAGGCTTTTTCACTGGGCAGCCAGCAGTTTCACTGTGACTCATCCTTAAAGTAGCGACTTCCTGAGGAAGTTGGGCGTAAATGATATCACCTCATTATAAGGTAGGTCATAAAAAACAATCATTCTCACGTTCGCGGAATTTAAGGAGAAGTTGCGGAGAAGTTGCCAATATTGTCTGATTCCATGGTAATTGAGTAATACTCTGATATAGAATTTCGCATCAGCATTTCAAGGAAGTTAGTATAATAAATTCCTAGCTCGAGGAAAGACATAAAAAGAAGTAATTTTGGCGGTCTCTAAAGAGGAAGTCTTTATTAAAAAAAAACATGATGGTAATTACACGAGTCATTCTCTAGGGGCCTATCCGCACTTAGCGACAAAATTGTTTATTTAGACAAATTTTCTGCCAACATCAACACTTTACAAGTGCGAATGGTTTGTCGCGACTTGAAAAAATTTGGCCGAGGCGACAAATTTTCAAACGCACCGCCGACAAAATTTGTCCCGGGTAAAACTTTGCAAAATCGACTAAATAAACAAAACCGTGGTAAACTTGCGATCGTTTAACTTGTCAATCATTTGTCGTAAACGCTACCGCCAGTATGGTAAATGAACTGAGTTCAGTTTACCAAAAGACTGAAGTAATTGTCTTTCGTTGCGAAACTCGCGGATTTTACAACTTAAAACAACTTAAGATGAATCGATCCTGGTACTTAGAGTTTGAATCCATGGGCAGATTATTGCAACCAGTCTCATGAGCAAGTCAGCCGCTGGATGCAGCCGGGGCAAGTTACAAAGGTGGAGCGATTTTCTAGTCGCCACTTTATCGGTCCAGTGATGAAGCCGTAAAGGTGGCACAAGATCAAAAGTGCACACTCAGAGCAAAGGGAAAGGAAAAGCTACATTGAATAAACTACAATGAAATATAGCATTGGTGTTATTTTTGGCTGTTAACCGAATTTGACAGCTTTAACAGGCTGGACATTTTTAGTGCGGATGTAACAGAAGAGACAAAAATTTGTCATGACAAAAGTTGTCCTTTGATTTTGTCGAGACAATTGTAGTTTTGTCTGCTAGGGGGGAAAGGCCCTAACATAGCATGGCACAGCACAGCTCAGCGGTTAGTGGACTGATAAGAATTTACTTGTCGGAAGAACTCAATGGCTGTTAAATTGCAAGAGCTCACTCGCGCCCTCTAGAGCGGCGCTGTAGACCCTTCGCAGTTACGAATACGACAATTGAACTTTTAGAATGCTTAGTCGATGAAAATACTCGAAATTTCCTCTAAATGCTGTGGTCTCTTTAAGGAAAACTTACACTAGCGTACTTACCGTTCGATGAGCTCTAAATAGTGACCAACATTGAACAGATTCTGTCCGTTAAATAACTTATCTTGAAAGCTTAAAGGTTATCATTCTAACTGACTCGTGTCTGAGATGTAACGGATATTTTGTTCACGTAATTCACCCGGTTTTGAGGTCAGCATACGATATCTAGGTGATTTGCACGTATACGTGATTGCCGCCATGTTGGTGGACGTAAACAATTGTTATCTCATAAGCTTCTTTTGTTCGTCCACCTGCATTTGTTCCTTTAACTATTGTTATCTGTGTCTCTAGAGATTCGTTGCAAACCAACTATTAATGAAGGATTACCGCAGCGGTTTAATGTCTTTCATCAAACCCGATTTAAACTTCAAATTCTGGGGCTTATGGCAACGATATCTTCTTACAAATAATTATGAATCCTGGAATACATTGCTCCAGGCAAAAAAAAGGGATGAGATTACGGTTGAATAATCTTTTTATCAACAGCCACCCCAAGGAAAATGATTAGGTCTTTTTACGGAGTGGTTGTAATTGAATTTATAACTGCTTTTCCCCCGAACAATTTTGAGTAGTAACTGTCTATGATAAGTATTCATGCTACGAGCCTCCTTCAGAAAGTTTTAGAGCGAAACCAATTGAAGCACCAAAACCACAAAATTCTGTTGCAAATGGCTCAAGAATATAAGAAAGAGAATATAGTACCTCCTAAGTAGTTGTATAAATGCCGATTCTGGCCCATTTTTTTAATCAGAAATTTGACTGAGATTTGACTGAGGGATTTGACTGAGATTTTTAATTTCAGTCATAAATTCCAGTCAAATTTTTAGTTAAAATTCTAGTCAAAATTCTTGGCCATTTTAAAATGCCTCAAAATCTCAGTCAAATCTTAGTCAAAATCTCAGTCAAATCTTAGTCAAAATGTCAGTCAAATTTTTGACTGAGTATAAATAAAAAATAAATAAGGGGTGCACGAGGGGCTAACCTCTCGTAGAGGAGCTCGAGGGAACAAGCTCCTCGAGCTCATAACCCAAAGCGTGTCTCATATTGCTTGAGTACTTTGGTCGATTGAAGGATTGGACATAGATCTGTGATTGTATCATAAAATAAAATTGATTTTAAGAAATAAAAAAAATATTTAAATAAAATCTTTACTAAGATAAAAATGAATTCAATAGCAAGCCGTCTTTGGAATACACTCCAAAGAACACTGGGTTATTCAAACCAGAGTGAAGAATCAAACGAATCTGAACCACAAAAATACTGAAAACAATCTGAGAAAAAAGATTGAAGATGTTGTTGACTGGGGAAAGAAAAAGGTTGAAGATTGGGGAAAATGGTTGTAGGGGTTGGTTGCGTCGAGAGATGTGGTTGACGACAAGTTAAAAGATTTCAAAACACACATCAACAAACTATATGAAAAAACAGATCAACACCATTTTAGACTTGTTGAGAGCAAGTCTTCATTGAAAAAGTTTGCAAATCAGTACACAATTGATGGTGTAGAGGGTTTTGCACTGAAGGATTTTTTTCAAGCTGTAAAACCGATTGTAATCAACTTTCTGTTAACGCAGAAGAATATCAAGATGGTGCTCGTTTTAAGGTGTAATATGTCAAAGACAAACGCTGCGACGGGGGAGACTAAGCTACAGCTTGCATATTTTACATCTTTTGTAGAGATTGTCTTTCAAGATACCGAACGAGAAGAGCTTTATCAGAAATGTGTTGACAAAATGATGGAGAGCTTGGCAAAGTTTACAAGAGAGGGAAGCGGTTGGGTTGTACATTCGATTGCGGGGTTGGATTTGCACACGGTGGAATACACTTCTTTGGAAGGCTCTTCATACATTAAGCTATCACCATATCTCGCAAATAAGAAGGCCATCATAAACATGAAGAATGGGGATGATGAATGTTTCAAATGGTGTGTCACGAGAGCGTTGAATCCTGTTCAGAATCATGCTGAGCGTATCACAAAGATTTTGAGAAAGCAGGCAGAAAAATTAAAGTGGGATGGAATTAAGTTTCCGATGGAGGTGAAGAGCATTCACCGTTTTGAAAAGTTGAATCCAGGTATCGCTATCAACGTTTACATGTATGAAGATAGACTCCAACCCTTGAGAGTTAGCAAGATCGAGAAGATTAATACTCATATTGATCTTCTTCACATCTCTGATGGTGAGAAAAAGCATTACTGTCTCATCAAATCATTGAGTCGACTCGTATCAAGTCAATTGTCGAAAAATGGACATAAGAAGTTTATCTGTAGAAGATGTCTCAATTTTTTCGGTTCTCAGAAACTTCTTAACACACACGACGAGTTGTGTCGAGAACATGAGGCTGTGAGAGAGAGGATGCCACCTTCTGAATCTTTTCTCTTTTTCAAAAACCATCACAAAAAGATGGATATGCCGTTCGTCATCTATGCCGATTTTGAATCGATCAACAAACCCTTGCACTCCGTTCAACCGAATCCTAAAGAGTGTTACACTGAAAAGAAGCGACAACATATTCCAGTAAGTTTTTGCTACTATATTAAGTGTTCATTTGACGATAAACACTCAAAAAAGGTTGAGTACACAGCAAAGTCTGAAGATGAAGATGTTGCACAGATATTTGTCAACATGCTTGAAGAAGAGGTAAAAGCGATATACAAAAATCATCCTCCAAAAAAGATGATCTTCACAGACGGTGATGCTAAAATCTTTGAAAAAGCAACGTGTTGTTGGATATGCGAAGAAGATTTCATGGCGGGAGAGGAAAAAGTTCGTGATCATTGTCATTATACAGGTAAATTTCGAGGGGCTGCACATGACGAATGCAACCTGAAATTCCGACGACCAAAATTCACACCCGTCATCTTTCACAACTTGGCAAACTATGACGCTCATCTCTTTGTGAGAAATCTCGGCGTCTCAGAGGGAAACATTGATTGCATACCAAACAATGAAGAAAAATATATCAGCTTCACAAAACATATTGTGGTTGATAGATTTTTCGATAAAAAGAAAGACAAAGACGTTGAGGTCAAGAGAGAGTTGAGATTTATCGATAGCTTCAAATTCATGCCTTCCAAGCTTGACGAGCTTGTTAACAACCTTGCTAAAAAGGGTGAGTCTTTTTTTCAAAATACAGGAAAATATTATCATGGAGAGAAGCTTAAACTGTTGATGAGAAAGGGTGTTTATCCTTATGAATGGATGGATTCTATATACAAGCTTGATGAGACTGAGCTTCCACCGAGATCTTGTCATTATTCTACTCTCAGTGGAGAAGGAATATCAGATGAAGCTGATGAACATAGACACAAAGTATGGAAAACATTTGGAATGAAGATATTCAGAGACTATCACAATCTTTACAATCGAAGTGATGTTCTTTTGCTCGCCGATGTTTTTGAGAACTTTCGAAAGGTTTGCAAGGAGAACTACAATCTCGATCCTTGTTGGTACTACACCGCACCGGGGTTGGCTTGGGATGCTTGTCTCAAACTGACTAAAATAGAGCTTGAGTTGTTGAGTGATATAAACATGTTGCATATGTTTGAGAAAGGTATTCGTGGCGGTATCTCAATGATTCCAACACGACACTCAAAAGCCAACAATAAATACATGGGAGAGAGGTTTGATAAGAGCGAACCTTCAAAGTTCATCACGTATCTCGATGCAAACAACCTCTACGGTTGGGCGATGAGTAAGAATCTACCGACAGGTGGTTTTGAATGGGTTGATGAAAAAGACTTTGGGGGGTGGGAGAATTTTCCCTGCATTCTTGAGGTTGATATACTCCCCATGGAGAAAGATTTATACGATCACTTCAACCACTACCCTCTCGCTCCTGAGAATCTGTTGGTTAATAAAGTGAAAAAGCTGCTATGTACCTTTTATGGTAAAAAGAAGTACATCATACACCATGAGACTCTGAAGCTTTACAAATCTCTTGGAATAAAGATTGGAAAGATTCACCGCGTCATCAGATTTGAAGAAAGTCCTTGGATGAAAAAGTATATCGATCTCAACACATCTTTGAGAGCCAAGGCCGATAACGATTTTGAGAAAGATTTTTTCAAACGCATGAACAACTCTGTATATGGCAAGACGATGGAGATCATTCGGAAACGAGTCGATATAAGACTTGTCAACTCAGAAGGTAAGGCGAAGAAGTTGGCAAATAAAGTGAACTTCAAACATTGCACCATATTTTCCGAGAATCTCTGCGCGTTTCATATGGGAAAGACACAAATTTACTTTAACAAACCTGTCTATCTCGGAATGTGTATCCTCGATCTCAGCAAGACTCTGATGTACGACTTTCATTACAATTACATCAAACCAAAATACGGAGACAGAGCAAAGCTTCTTTTCACCGATACAGACAGTCTCTGCTATGAGATTCAGACTGAAAATTTTTATAAAGATATTATCGATGACGTGGATCGTCTGTTTGACACGAGCAGCATTCCGAAAGATCATCCGTCTGGAATACCGAGTGGGTAAACGAGAAAGTTATTGGAATGTTCAAGGATGAGGCTGGTGGAAAGATCATTGAAGAGTTTGTTGGTCTGAGAGCGAAGCTTTACAGCTACAAAATGTTTGATGATGGAAAAGAAAAGAAAAAGTGTAAGGGAGTGAAGAAAGGAGTGGTGGAGAACACTATAAAAATGGAAAACTATAAAGCGTGTCTGTTTTATGGAGAAAAACAACACCGGAAGAGGACCACGTTACGTAGTCGAAAGCATGAAATTTACACAGAAGAGATCAACAAAGTTGCTCTGAGTGCAGATGATGACAAGCGAATAATTCTTCCAGACAGAGTAAACACACATGCAATGGGATATGAATGAATGAATGAATAAATGAATGAATGAAAAAAAAATTAATAAATTTAACTTGAGTAATCTATAACCCACCAGGATTATAGATTGATTACTATTCAAAACTAATTATGTATTTCACACAACCAATATCTATTGTTTTCTTCATCTCTTCTTTTTTTCCAAGAATTTTCATACCAAATTTTCCAGGGTTTATGTTAAAATGTTTTGCAGCAGCATACATTGAGGGAAAAACGAGTTCTTTCACTTTCACTTTTACCTCATCGTCATCAGAATCTTCGACAAGTTCTCGAAGTATCACTTTTCTCTTTGCAACTCTTTTCTTTTTAACCGGTGGGTTTTTGATTTGTTCAATCAATTCTTTTCTCTTCAGGTTGTAACGACCCACCAAACCGATCTCTCTCGCTCTTTTCAAGAGCTCAGTATTTGAAAGCGACTCGAGTTCGTCTAATTTTGGTGGGCTTTTTATAAACTCTATGAGTTTTGCTTTATTAAAAGTGTGATATCTTCTTAGACCCATATTTTTTGCTTGTTTAAAAAGTTGTTTTCTTGTTAGATTGTCAAGGTTTTCGTTATTTTCAATATCATTCATTTAAATGATTTTTTTTTGTCTTTAAATCTCTTTAAGATCTTTTTCATCAATCCATGAGTTGAATTTTTCTGGATAGCCACCCCACTTTACAAGAGCTTTTCCTTTACTCCTTCGAATAACCTTTTCAATGCGGAAAACCTCTTGCTTTGCTCTCAACATCTCCTGTTCGTAAAATGAACCTTTGATCTCTTCTTCGAGCAGATCCTTCAACTTGTAAGTGATCGGGTCGGAATATTGAATCTGATCAACGATGAAAATCTCCTCTGTCCAATTCGGAGTAAAACCTTTATCGAACACTTTTCGCTTGAATTTGGAGATTCGAACGTGATCACCGACCGCAAACTTTGGCTTCAAAGGGGAGCTCGAGAGGGCATGCCCTCTCGAATAGAGTTTCAGAAAGACAGCATTCTCATTCTTTTTCTTTGAAGCCTCTGTCGGTGTCATACCGATTGAGCTATGTTTTCGATTGTTGTACTTTTCGACAATCTTTGGCAGAATATCGAGATACTGTGTATTGTTCTGAATGGTAAATTGCTTCCACATATTCGTTTTGATCGTTCGATTCCACCTCTCACAGACAGACGATTTCTCCTCATTTTCTGTCGAGTACATCTCAACACCATTAGCTTTCATCAAATCTTTAACATGACTGTTGTAATACTCCGATCCTTTATCAACCCAGAGCCTCTTCGGCACCCGCCCCTCGGTAAATATCTTTTCGAAACCCTCCGCTACACTCTCACCCTTTTTATTCTTCAACGGAACGATCCAGCCGTATTTGCTAAAGACATCCAAAACCATCAACAGATAACGATAACC